CAATCTTATCATTGGGTAAGTGAGGTAAAGGAAAGAGTCTGTGGCCGGGGATTGAACCCCGGACCATGTGCATGATCGGCGAGCATGCTAACGCTGTGCCAAAGACGCACAGATATACGACGTTTGTTTGAACTCAATAACCCAGAACAGACATTTAATGGGCTAGCCTAAGAGTCACACACACATCACGTTACAAGCTGATAACACTATACAGTTATCGTCGAAGCTAATGTATCTGGAGCGGAACTCGAACCAACGACCCAGTACTTAAGCCAATTAGCCATATCTCCACATGTTAGCACAGGTTTTCTTACGACTATCTTCACAATCACTGCCAGCATCACTATCACAAAAACACAAAAGGACATTGATGTTTGAAGATGCAAGATGCAAACAAACAAACAAGCATACATACATACATACATACACACACACGTGCACATAAACACATTATTAACAAATTTTCATGTATAGTGCACTTTTACACAACTGTCCATATGTAAATAAACACTGCCAAAATGTAGGTTATTGATTATGCTGTAAACAACATATATGCAGAATAGTTATCGATCAGTCAATGGTGTTTTGAATTCCTGATACCTATCGAAACATTTTTCAAGTAGGTTTTAATCAGCGTAAAAAGTTAAGCAAAATAACAAAGTCACACTAACACTTAATAAGTATACTTGAAGTGACTTTTATTGATTCATGCGTAATGATAATTGACGTAAAATGAGACTCAGTGCTTCATAGTAATACAAATAAATAATATTCTTATTATTTGTGAACAATAGTTCATTGCCTGATCATGGAGACTTAGCTCATCTATCAGCTGAAACAGGTTAAATTCAAACTGATTAGGCGCAGGTTAAACTGCTGCTAGAGTCAAATCTGCATGGAAGTTTTAAGCAGAAAGAAGAGACACGACAAACAGTGGCTCACTACGGACACTTGGAGACTAATAGAAGAGAAAACGACAGTGAAACAAAAGATTATCCAGTGCACCGACGAGCAACAAAAACAGGACTTGAATGCAAATTACAATACACTGAACACAAGAGTGAAGAAGAGTGCCAGGGAAGACAAAAGAAAATATTATGAAGCCATGTCAACTGAAGCAGAACAAGCTGCAGGCAAAGAAGACCTCGCCAAACTCTACCAAACAACTAGGCACATATCTGGCAAAAGATCGACACAGATTAAGCCAGTGAGGGATGAAAATGGAAAGTCAATCACCAACGAAAGGGAGCAAAGAAAACGCTGGCTTGAACACTTCAAAAGACTTCTAAATAGGTCGCTACCTACAACGCGCCCAACAATACCAATGACGGAAGCAGAACCACCAGTGAACATCGACCCCCCGACGAAATCAGAAGTCCGGAAGGCAATCAAGATGCTAAAAGCTGGAAAAAAAAGCAGGACCAGATGGAATCCCTGAAAAAGCATTGAAAATGGACCCAGAGACAACAGCGGAATTGATGACACCACTACTGGAGAAGGTGTGGAAAGAGGGCAAGGTACTCGAGGATTGGAAGAAAGGATACTCATTCAAACTGCCAAAGAAAGGAAACTTAAGTCAATGCAAGAAATGGTGCGGAATTATGCTCTTGTCCATTCCAAGCAAAATACTAAGCTGCATCATCCTGGAGAGAATCAAACAAGCTCCAGATGAAAAACTTCGTCCGAAACAGGCCGGATTCAGGAGAAACAAATCATGAATTGATCAAATCGCCACTCTACGGATCATCATTGAACAAAGCTTGGAATGGCAGTCACATCTCTACCTCACTCAACTTCCTTGACTTTGAAAAGGCCTTCGACAGCGTCGATCGAGAGGTCATTTGACAACTACTTCGCTACTACGGGGTCCCATCGACAATTATACATCTCATTCAACAGTTGTACGACAATGCTGCATGTCACGTAATCCACAAGGGGTAACTTATGGAATTCTTCGAAGTGAGGATGGGAGTGAGGCAAGGTTGTCTACTATCGCAAATGATTTTCCTGATTGCAGTAGATTGGGTAATGCGACAGACAACGGAAACCAACGAGGGAACAGGCATTAAATGGACTCACACAAAAATAACTTGGAGGATCTGGATTTCGTCGATGATATATGTCTGATTTCTCACAAACTAGAAGATATGCAAGTGAAAAGCAACAAGTTGGTCATAGAAGAAGCATCCAGAGAAGATAGGACTTCCTTCAATTGAACATAGAGAAAACAGAGGTGATGAAGATTCCTGGCCAACACCAACAGCAACAACAACAACAGACAACAATCAGCCAGCATAAATGGGAGGAACCTGAAAGAAACAACCTCCTTTACCTACCTACCCACCTGGGAAGCATCCTTCCAACTACAGGTCAACGGAATTGACGACGATATCAAAGCCAGAATCGGAAAAGCAAGACAAGCTTTCATTACTCTTAAGTCTGTGTGAAGGTCAACAGCATTCAGCATCAAAAATAACATCCGGATATTCAACTCCAATGTGAAGTCAGTCAGTTCTACTATACGGATAAGAGGCTTGGCGCGTCAAAAAGAGCATCTCAAACAAACTCCAGATCTTCATTAACAGTTGTCTTTGCTCAATACTACTGATGATCAGATGGCCGGCCAGAAAAGATCAACAACAAGGATCTTTGGCAATGAGCGAACCAACAACAGCAGAAAACGATTGTAAAACAAATAGGCAGGAAGAAATGGAGATGGATTGGCTATACGCTGATGAAACAGGGCATCAAGTGACATCACTAGACAAGCCATCGCTCGAGTGGAGCCCGAAAGGGAAGCGGGTGGCGAGTTGGTCGTCAGTGCAAGGGTGACTTGGAGTAGGCCATGAGAAGAGGAGATGAAATCATGTGGGCAGACTTGGAACTAGGTGAAAACTCTAGCAGAGAACCGAACGCACTGGAGACGAGTGGCTGAAGCCCTATATTCCTCTAGGAATTAAAAGAAATAATAATAAATAATAACAACCACCTGCTGCTACATCTACTATAGCTTTGCCATCAGCCTTCACAGAAAACAGCCATGGCTATTGACCGGATCTATGAAAGATCTATTCCGGGTAACTGAGTTTTGCTAGTAACATTCAATGCAGTCACTAAGTAAGACAACATTTCTCAAGTATCAACTAAATAAAGACGTTACCAACTGTTTGTTTGCAAGGAGTACATTGGTTTCACGTTAAGTCATGCGGAGATATCAGTTAGAAAACTACTGAAAACCAAGAATAACTGGACAGATATTTCGTCCCGAGCCGGTTGAATGCTCAATGCGTTTACCTCGTGACCTGAAGTTCATAGGTTCCAACCAGGAAGAAACTCCTGTTCAGCACTCCCTGGGTTTCCGGCGATTCCCTAATTGATGTCAGCTAGTGACCTTACCTAATAAAGTCCATGTTACCCACCGGAACTACGACCTAGTAGACTATGAGCGAATACTAACTTAGTGCTCTGGCTAATCCACCCAAATCGCACGACAACAACTACTACAACAATAACACCGCCGGCACGCAAAGACAAAATAATCGGACGTCAACAAGAGAGTTTTTACTGTCCCAAACAATGCTAGACAGAAACTCTGTATATATATATATATATATATATATATACCGTCAGAATGACCTCGAAAATGCAGTTATTCAGTGGTGCATTTACAAGTATTAACTACCAATAAGAAGAATGCAGCAATCTAAACAGAGGAGAGAAAAAGGGCTCATGTCAGTTTGCGATAACTCCCCAAAACAGTTATTTTAAGGCCTTAGGCAAAACTAGGTGAACATAACAGTCGAACGATTGGAAATTAGAAGTCAGAGAGAGAGAGAGAGAAGGGGTTAGTCACAGGTTATCGTTAGTTAGTTTTTCGCATATCAGTTACCCAAATCAGATTTTTATGTACCAGTGTGTGCAACACACACGCACATTGTGAGTAGATTGAGCAGATAAATATCCGTCCCTACCCTTACCCCAGAAGATAATAAAAAATGGATGGGATTCGAACTCTTGACCTATTAGCTGAAAGTCAAGTGCTTAAACCAATGAGTTACATTGATACGTAAAAACAAAACTAGGATGTAACAGATGTCCAATGCCGCGTGCTCCTCAATGACTTTCTAACTGATGTGTTGGTTCACGATGAAGTCTACATTGAAATAATTCCAAATTAGATAGTTGGAGGCGATCGGCAGGAAGCCTTGGACCTAGGTTTTGCGCCAGTTGGCACTTATCAGCAAGGCGTATCTGCGACCTTGAAGGAACTATCTAATATCATGAAATCAATGTGATGGCGAGCTACCTGGTATGGTGGCCACATTGCAAAACCTGACTGATAGGATTCAGTCTGCACCAAAGAAAGGACTAGATACGTCACACTAGTTACTAGTGTCCAATCAAAATAATTCCAAATTCCTAAAAAACTCATACATCTTTAGAATTTTTTTATTCCTTTGCGACCCAAGTGGATTCGAGGGCTTCAAGCTTAATCTATAAAGTCTCAGTAGCAGTCGTGTACGGCATGAGGTTGCTGGCTGCCTTACGGCCTCACCATCAGCTAAGCGAGGTTTAGGGATGTTTCAGCCCAGATTTGAGCCATGGATCACGTGTGTGATCACCGATGAACCACCCACACATAAACCAAAATAAATTAAAGCATGATGAACTTATTCAAATATTGGCTTCGTAGGGATTTTGTTTGATTGTATGGGGGATTTCATCATGAGCTGACATCAGTAAGTTAGAGAACCAATAGAAAATCTGAGAGTACTGGACAGCTGTTTCATCCTGGTTTTGGGTTCTTCATCTGTACGCACCCACTGGGGTTCGAACCAAGGACCTTCTGGTTACAAGGCGAGCTCGTATGCCATTCTAACTTCTGCCAATTCACGACATAGCGCGACCATTTCGCAATGTCTTCATGGATGAGTTACTGCCTCATGATGAGTACTTCAAAACAATATTTTTGAAAAAAAAAACCAAAAACATCGACTTACATAATAGAATCATTCTTTAAATCGATTAATCCAAAAAGAAAGACAAATATGCCAAGAATAGCAATCGGTAATAACCATGCAGTGTAAAATCCAAGCCAAGCGAAATAAAATGCTACAGCTTCACCGAAATAATGTCTAATAGTATGATTTATTTTGTTATGGAATAAATAGGAAAAACAAAACAAAACAGGTCAAGTAAACAAATAAGTAAATAAATACGAACATTTTAGAATATTAATTTAAAAAATGTCACTTATTTAAAAGTGATTAGTAAAGGAATTCAGGGCGCGTGCTTCATCCTATTTGGGAATCATCACGTCTGGATACACTTGCATTTCTAAGAAGAAATGAATCCAGAACCCAACGTCTCAGGTCTCAATGCAAACACCATCACTGCATGAAGATGTGGGTACATTCAGCTGTGAAAAATAACGGGTAGGATGAAACGCGCATCCTTCATTCCACTACCGTCCAAGCAACATTACATCAATCTCAAGGCATTATCGAAGCGTCCAATCATACCTAGGGTGAGCATGTCATGTTATAAAGGCTACTTCAAGGTTTAAATGTTGTACATAGAACAGTAAGTAAACTGAAAATTAATTGCTTCAATTTTTTTCAGGAGTTTTGACTGGCGTCTTACACTAAAATACACCTTTGTTAGAATTCAGTTACTAGGATTAGATTTCTTCCCATGCTCCCGGCCGAAAACTGCTACCTTGTCGTGGCGATCGGGCTTGAATACCCTTATGACCCAACATGATAAACTGACTGGGACTCTGTCCCTGCAGCTCCTACCATGTCAGAAAGGTTGTTTGGATAGCGGTTAAACTGAAAGCAGTAACCATCGGGTACATGGCCTCCAGTATCCAATCGAATCAAATGGAGTATGAACCCATATAGGTCACCGGAAACGGTCATGGAAATGCAGCTCCTGACGCTGCTCCGCTGCCTTCCGGATTAGACTCCATGTCAAAGGCTCCGCGGGTGGTCCCTTAATAAAACCACCTGCTTCGGTCTGGACGCCCGCCCGGCCAGTATCTCAGCCCTCACACAATCAATTGAATAAAGCAACAAACAATCAATGAAACTTATCGCGTCCTATTACACGTGTTGCAATTTCCTTCTTTCTTCCCTTCCCGATGACAGTTAACGAATACTATTTGAACTTGTTAAGGATGACTATTTTCCTTCCAGATAAAGTTCTTTATGCATTTTCTAATTAGATATAAATTTTTTTCTCTTTTTTCTTTTCTTCTTTTGATCTATGTTGTTTTATTATTATTATTATTATTATTATTATTATTGTGTGGCGCATCCTTCTTGGTACCATATTGTACCACGTTTTTATGCGTTTGATAGGATCCCACATATTTTGGTATTGACTGTTTAAACTTGCATTTATGGTATGTTATCATTCTCACGCATTTTGGTAGTGACTGCTAGTTTTGTATATTATCATTCTCACGCATTTTGGTAGTGACTGCTAATTTTGTATATATGGTATATCATTCCCACACATTTTGTTACTGACTGTCAATGTCGCACATATGGCATATTATGATTTCTCACACACTTTGTTATTGGCTATTAAGGTCAATTATTTCAAATGCTGTTAGCTGTCCATATTGTTGTAAAATGTATAAATACCATGGCTTTCTTTATCGTTGTTGCACTTCAATACACAGTCACAGTCCAGCCTTTGTCTTTTGATATTTGCGTGCTTTACTAAGTCGGAAGGTACGACGAGCAGATAAACATATAAGTTCAGGCGCAGACAGAGCAAGATACAACAATTGGCGACGGGGTTTACCTTAATTCAGTACAGTTACAACAATTGGCGACGTGGATTTACTTAATTCATCGCAGTTATAGCAAGCAAACGACGACAGTTTTTATTCTGTTCAGCGCAACTATATAACATTTTTGACTGTGTTAATTACAACCCAATTACAATGTCTATCTCTCTGGACGATCTCAAATCTATCTTGCAGCAGCAGCAAGTTCAGAATGAAGCAGCTCAACTAAAATTAATCGAAGCTCTCACTCAGAAGCTGTCCATTCAAGTTCCATCAACATCTCATTCTGACAAATATGAAAGCATCTCAAATTCCATCAGTGAGTTCAACTACGACCCAATATCTGGTCTCGTATTTGATGCATGGTTCAATCGTTACGAAGATGTCTTCCGTATTGAATGCTACATGTTTGATGATGCTGCCAAAGTCCGATTGTTACTAAGAAAACTTGGTACTGTTGAGCACAACAGATATGTTAACTTCATTCTGCCTAAGAACCCACGTGAGTTATCATTCGATGAGACAGTCACCGTTTTATCACAAATCTTTGGTGAACAGTCATCCATGTTTAATATTCGGTATCAATGTTTTCAGTTGACAAAAATGCCTTCCGATGATTATGTGACTTACGCTGGCAAAGTGAACAAGGAATGTGAAAGGTTCAAACCACACGAAATGACATCAGATCAGTTCAAGTGTTTGATTTTTATTTGTGGGTTGAAGAACCCAGAAGATACTGACATACGAACTCGACTTCTGTCACTTGTGGAACAAGACCCGAAAATGACTTTACAAATGGTGACAGCAGAATGCCTACGTTTAATCAACTTGAAGCACGATACTGCTATGGTGGAGTGCAAACGACAGTCGTCTGAATTTGGTTCGATTAACACAGTGAAAAGTCCTCCGATCACCGTTAAGCACACAGAACGTCAGTCTCAAAATTCAGCTAAACCTCCTTCAGTGTGCTGGCACTGTGGTTCGTGGCATTTTGTCAAGTTCTGTCCTTTCAAGAAGCATAAGTGCCGTAATTGTCACCGTTTTGGACATAAGGAGGGTTACTGTCCACCGCAGAAAAATCCTTCGGTGAGGAACAGAAGTAGTCGTTTCGAGCCGAAACAATCTCCTCGAGTACAGACTATTTATACAACTTCCAAAGTCGATGTCGCCAGCAAACGTAAGTACATAACACTAGATATTAATGGCAAACGTATTCGTCTTCAGTTGGATACGGCATCAGATATCACCGTAATTTCCCGAACTACGTGGCGCAAACTTGGTTGCCCACAGATTCTGCCGACCGAGCATTTCGCCAAGAATGTCTCTGGAGATAAACTGAAACTCGTGGGTGAGATCAATTGCCAGGTTCAGTTTGGTGAGCATCACTTCAATGGTGTATGTTACGTTACAAACTACCATGATTTGGATTTGCTTGGTCTTGACTGGTTAGACAAGCTCCATATCTTTAATGTACCATTAAATTCAGTATGCTCTAATGTTTCGTCTTCACCACACAACGTTGTTCCCGGAGATGTATCTGATCAATCTCTCTTGCAACGCCGTCGTCAAAAGCACGCTTCTGTCTTTCAGGACAAACTTGGTTGCTGCAAACTGTTTGGCATCCAGCATATTCGTAGCCCCCCGTATCATCCCCAATCGAATGGACAGACTGAACGTTTCGTCGACACCTTTAAGCGTGCTTATGCAAAAGCGAAGGGGGAGGGAACAACAGAAAAATTTTGGATAAATTCTTGCTGCATTATCGTACGAATGAAAAAGGACAGTTATGTGGCAGACACACAGATCACGCTCTATCCAGTACCACGCAAAGGTCAACTCGACAAAGAAGAGCTCCGAAACCTTTTCAAATAGATCCAAAAAGCAAGTCCTACACTCTTTACGGGGGGAGGTGATAGGATCCCACATATTTTGGTATTGACTGTTTAAACTTGCATTTATGGTATGTTATCATTCTCACGCATTTTGGTAGTGACTGCTAGTTTTGTATATTATCATTCTCACGCATTTTGGTAGTGACTGCTAATTTTGTATATATGGTATATCATTCCCACACATTTTGTTACTGACTGTCAATGTCGCACATATGGCATATTATGATTTCTCACACACTTTGTTATTGGCTATTAAGGTCAATTATTTCAAATGCTGTTAGCTGTCCATATTGTTGTAAAATGTATAAATACCATGGCTTTCTTTATCGTTGTTGCACTTCAATACACAGTCACAGTCCAGCCTTTGTCTTTTGATATTTGCGTGCTTTACTAAGTCGGAAGGTACGACGAGCAGATAAACATATAAGTTCAGGCGCAGACAGAGCAAGATACAACAGCGTTTAAATAAATAAATCCTTCCCATTCTACTACCAGTAGCTATGAGCCACATTTATTTTATGGTTGAATACCCGCCAACTATGTGAGCTGTCCTGGTTCAACTCCCTGCCAACACACTCCTAAACAAGGCGCTTAGCCGGTAGTAATCCCAGTGAAGACGGAATGCTGGGTGTGAGGCTAGAAACTTCAGTCCGTAAAAAGTTAACAGCACTACTGCTGATACTTCAAAGGTCAGTTTCGAAGCCCTACTGTTCCCCACTTGGTACGCAAAAGAATGAAACATATACAGTTACCTAGGAAGAGACAGACGGAGTGGGAATGGAACCTGAGACATATTGGGTGTAAGTCAAGTGCTTAAGTCAATGAGCCTTGTCTCTACTGAGATAACAGACTGTTCTTAATGCATTATGGAAAAACAACCGGTACGTATTAGCAAGAAGCGAATTTCCACTAATCACCACCTATCTTTTCTATATTCTTTGTGAGATAATGAACTAATATCTAAAATGTGTTTCGGTTCATTGGCTTTTCATTTCACTCATCTACCTACAACAAGCTCACTCGAATAAATAACACACACACTCAAGCTAGTGGCTTGAAGTTTCCGTAGCAGTGTTTAATTTTACAGGATTGGGTTGCTAGCCTGGTGCCCAACCTTTCCTCCCTATCAGCATTATTTTTTGGCTTAGCGAGGCAACGGAGTGCGTCGGCCGGTGGTCGAACTTCGGACCATGTGCATGGTCGGTGAGCGTGCTAACCGCTGCGCCACCAACGCACTTTTGCTTGATCAGGTGGATGATTTCCTGCAAACAACATTCTTTGGAACCATTAATTTATACTCTTCAAGAAATTCGACATGTAATGATCAACTAATCTAGTAATGTTAGACTATTAATGTTGTGACAGCATGTACTACTAATCAATATGAGTAGTTGGGAACAACAATCGCCACTAAACAGTAACCACTTTATTCGCCTTCGGGGGTGAGGGGTTATCAGTGATTTACTCAAACCGACACAGTGCAGACAGCTGATTCGATTCAAAGCACTCAAATTCAAATTAACTATGTGAGCACAGTGGTAACAGAATATACTATCTGAGGAGAAATTTCAAAAGGATTTTGTTTGGAATCTGAAAAATATTCGTATCACAATAAATAACCTGCATTTACACAGGTACATTCATGTTCATGTGATCCAGTCAGTCACCTTTTAATTTAATACAGGGTACGCGGAAACTTCCAGAAGAAGTGAGACCAGGACATTTATACATGGTAGAAGAATTAGCGATTCCAGAATTGAAGCCAACACTGTGTATTCAGGCTTTGTCTTTAGCATGGACATCATGACCAGTTCACTTTCGAAATAAAATCACTATTATTTCGGCATGTTTATGATCTCAACCTACTGTCTATCTTTTTATTCCAATCCATAATTAACTATAGGACGGTGGTACAGAACGCGTTTGGACTAAATTCGGGTTTAAGGATAGGGAGTGAAAATGGTCGCATGTCTAGACTACTACTGCCGCTGTGCCAGTTATTAGCATCTGACGACTTACGTCATTTTTTGCCCAGACATCATATATGGCGATTCACTAAAACGACGTGTCTAATTAACAGCATTTCAATCCATCCCTTTTGAACGATTATGAAACAGAACTACAAAAAAGTGGGAGATATGAAAAGACTAACCATCTTTGACCATATGTGTTCAATTTTTAATGCTTGGTGATAGAATATTTCTTTTTATTCCTTTACGTTCCTGGGGCTAGAACACAGGGCATCAAACTACAGGCTTGAAGTTTCAGTAGCAGTGGTGTTTATTTCTACGGGATGGGGTTGCTAGTCTCATGCCCGACCCCCCTTCATCACCTGTCTTGTTACTTGCTTGGCAAGGTAAAGGGAAGGCGTCTGTGGCCGGGGATCGAACCCCGAAACACCTGTGTGGTTGACGAGCATCTTACCGCTGTGCCACCGACGCTGGTAATAGAACATGGTCAATAATAATGAGGTTACATTCAGGTTGTTCAGTAAAGGGAAAAAGTGGGACCCAATCAAGGTGAATAGGATACGTATTACACATGCAAAGCCACCTTTCTCAACACTCAGTATTATCTGATATAGGATGATGGTGTAAAGAAAGAGTAGGAGGTAGTCAGACAAAACATAACACAGCCCCATGGAGTCATTAACCACCAGTGTAAGCCGAGTGGGGAGGTTGGGCAGATCTAGATGAGATCATCGGGACACTAAAAACCAATAGTCGGAGACTTTTGGCTACATAGCTGAAAACACAAGCCAAAAGTGCAGACGTATTCACTCCTTGTGACGCTCCAGATTTATTTAATCGTCATCAATCTGCCCGTATGTATCAGTTGATTGTAGTTTCATTACATATCTCTACTTTACTGTGATATGTTGTTTCATGAAATCCAACAACTTGAAGTGGTACACTTCTAAGTAAGGTTCTACTTTGAAGTATTTCAGTGGATGGTGCCTATTAGTGGATTCCAGAACCATCATTTCGTCCCATTTGGTACTCATCGCTGGATGTACCTGCATTCCCCAGTGAGTGAATGTGTTAAGAGTCTTAAACATGACAGGGAGCGAACAACTTTAAGCTAAATAATACTATCAACAGTCTTTAAGTATGGTAAAATTGTAGGGGTAATAGCTCAACACAAGAATCACACATAATTTCATAAACCCACTTACCGTATATAACTAATTGGTTGACATTTGAACAACATTTTATATGAAGCCCAATAATTCTGTAATAGGATACGATTATTGAATTCCGTTGATGCAACTGTATTACCAGCCGGCTATATTATACATAAAAAAGATGAATAAAACAGGACAAGATAAACTCAGTTGACCAGTAAATAATACAATGATTGTGGAGCTGTGCCTTGTTGTTCCTGATGTAACTAATTTACCCTGAGAAAACTTTTTACATATTTAGGCATGAGCTACACTTCATGCTTATCGTACTTGGTTGAGCCAATGATACTAGATAGTTTTCACCCCTCCCCCAAGCTGTGTTAGATACAGCAGGGCTCGAACCCTGAATCCGGAATTGGAAAATCTACATCTTAAGCCGATGAGCCACATCTTTACTGAGCTCTTACTTCCAGTCAGTTGGCCAGGCAGTTGAAACCTCACTCCAATAAACAAGGTTTAAGCAGCCAGGTATTATCGCTGGCCGCGTCATCACCAACTACATAGGAACGTATGTGACAGTAGGGTGATACAGTGTAATGTAAGTACATTGAGTGAAGGTAAGTGTTGGACCCAGCTGAAGAGGATGGCAGAAAATAGGAGAATGTGGAGATATGTTATCGAAACCCTATATTCCACTCGGAACCCAAGGGAATAATAATGCGTCGAAAAAGTCAATGAGAAGTGTTTAGTTCAACATTAACAGTCAAATTGTTAACTCCTTTTTACCGCAAGGAAAAGGCCTATTCAAAAACTTATCTACAGCTTTAAAACTTACACATAATTCACGACCAATTACTATTACGTGCAAGCAGAAATATGAGATTATAACAGAAAAGGATTTCATAGAATTAAAACTGGAACAGTGTAATTTAGGCTCTACTGCTAAATATCCCCGGAAAATCCTATTGGATAGTTTAACATTTTATCTGACCAATCAAAATGAATGTATTACTTTTTTTAAGTGAATAATACCTGAACAGTTGTAATGATGAATTCACACCAAGATGGAAAAGACTTAACAACTTTTCACGTTAAAACATGATATCGTTTTATAAAGTTATTGATTCAAGGCAAGTAGTTACGTAAACTCTGAAAAGTGCACATCTCTTTACTCCTTGTCGTCTTCTATATTCTCTAGGTTTCCGAAAAGCAACACCATACCTAGAAAAGACCTACATCCAGATGAGGATTCTTAAATACATCAAGGCACCATCGACAAAATAAAATCACGTTAATCGAAAGATATCGTGACTGAAGCGTCAACAAAAACTGAGAATTCCAGTCCAACATAAAAATCAAACAACGAGAAATTCAAAATAATATAAACAAGTAACAACTGACACTCGCCACTCAAGTAGTCGCTGCTCTTGTGGCCCAGTGGATAATGCTTTGAAATGTTTTAAACAGTAGGTCCTGAGTTGCAGTCACCATGGGGATGAGTAAACATCCAGTTGACCACTAGTGCTAGGTTGAAGGAAGCATGCGTCCTAGCATTCCAGTTCTTTCAAATTGGTGTCATTTAAAGATCAAACTTCAGACCAATCAAATCCCTGCAAACCAATACTTAGAAAGTTAATCCAGTGCACACAAGTGACCGACTCCTACAGGATGAAGTTATCTGAAGTTCTACTGAGAAGGCATGATCAGCGAGGTTCACCAAGGTTGCCCAGGAAGACAAATACTCACCGGTGACATTGACTGACGGTTGCTCTGCAAAACCACAAAATTCATGGACCACTGGATTCCATCTGAGTGGTTGAATGATCAACTAAATCCTTCTTGTAATCTCAACATCTTAGGTTCGACCACCTCTAAAGAGGTCATAAGTACATACTTCTAATGAATCTCAAACTAGGACAAAACAACTTGAAATTGACTAATCAATCTTTTTCAACACTTAACTTTTCAAAGAATTTACATTGTATTGTCTTAAAACTAGTCATTTACATTGAATGTACTTTTCTCTGGAAAAACTAAAATATCATAGTGTATAGATTTGCTCGTTTTGTTTATATCAGACGCATCAGTCAATCACGCACATACAAGTAAATATAACGACACACTCTTACCGTAGGGAAATATTTTCAAAAAATTATACGATTAATAATAATAGTGTAGTTTAAGGACTAAAGATAATGATGAAATGAAAATCAGTGTTACAGGAGATTTCGAATCAATGCTTCCTAATACCCTGTCGATAACCGCTACCTTGTCATGGTGGTCGGGCTTGAATACCCTTATGACCCAACATGATAAACTGACTGGGACTCTGTCCCTGCAGCTCCTACCATGTCACGAAGGTTGTTTGGATAGCGGTTAAACTAAAACCAGTTACCACGGGGTACATGGGCTCCAGTATCCAATCGAATCAAATGGAGTATGAACCCATATGGGTCACCGGAAACGGTCATGGGAATGCAGCTCCTGACGCTGCTCCGCTGCCTTCCGGATTAGACTCAAAGGCTCTGGGGGTTGTCTCTTATTAAAACCACCTGCTTCGGTCTGGACGCCCGCCCGGCCAGTATCTCAGCCCTCACACAATCAATTGAATAAAGCAACAAACAATCAAGGAAACCTATCGCGTGCTATTACACGTGTTGCAATTTCCTTCTTTCTTCCCTTCCCGATGATAGTTAACGAATACTGTTTGAACTTGTTAAGCATGACTGTTTTCGTTCTAGATGAAGTTCTTTATCCGTTCTTTACTGATATATTTTTTTCTCTTCTTACATTTTTTTCTTTTGATCTATGTTGTTTTATTATTATTATTATTGTGTGGCGCATCCTTCTTGGTGCCATATTGTACCAAGTTTTTATGCGTTTAAATAAATAATAAATAAATAAAACTTCCTAATAAATCAAGTATAACACTGTATACTACTAATGATTGTTTGAGATGAGTAGTTAGTTGGTTTTAATGAGCACTACTGGTTGGTGTGAATAGTATACAATTATTCCTACCCACCAATCAATAGTATGCAGTGTCGTGCATTTACGATTGCTTTCTTGATTACTAGTTAGTTATAGTTACCAAGTAGATCACATAGTGTGTGATCTGAGTGCAGTCAAAACCTCAAGTAGTAACACCATATATTAGCAAAAAGAAAAATAAACGATAACCAAATCAAAAAAGATGCGGGGTGAAACAATATCGAAATAAACTAAAACCCTATCACCGAATTCCCTGCATTAGGTAAATAATTTTTGTAGTAATGAAAGAAATTAAAACTAAGAAAGTATGTGCGTGAGTTTGTGTATATATATATATATATACAGTGGTGCTGATTATTTCATTCATTATCATAAAAGTATTTTTATTTGCTAACAAGCGAGAGAAAAACGCAACCATACTTTTCATACATTTATTCCCCATACTGAATTTGAATGAAACAAGAACAACAGTTTTTGCAGAATAAAATGGTACCACCATTGTTTGTTTCGTCGGCTTCTCATCAGCTGCTTACAACCCAAAGACATTATTAAGAACTTATGACTCCCCTAAAGATGCTGAAAAACAACGATTACCTTCTAAGGTTCATTAAACACAAGCACAGAAGATTTGAAGGCTTAAATGTCAAACAAATCCCAGTGGGGGAAAAAAGCCAGTTTTCATTCAATACAATTTAAAACGTGGAAATATCACAGCGATTGTCAACAGAATATTGACGATGTCACTAAGCAGCGCCTATCCTGCTGTTAAGTTGGTTTCTGTCTATAGAAAAACTTGCTCTTTGGTGAGATCAAAAGTAAGCAGATATCCTTCTCATGTTAACTTCAAATGTGCATACAAATTTACATGTATCTATGGGAGCAGTTCGACAAGAAGAACAAAAAAAGGGCATATTTCCGATTTTCTGTACATGTACCAAAACGCTTATGTCTAAGGGCAAAAACTGCTTCTAAAAACAGTGCCATCGCCAGGCATCTCCTTGACACGGGTCATGAGGTGGACGTAGCAAATCTTTCAGAATTATCAGTAGGCAAACGAGCTCAATTCTCCTTAAGTTTGGATAGTTGGAGGCAATCGGCCACAAGAAGCTTTCGACCTAGGTTTCGTGCTAGTTGGAAAACATCGGCAAGGCGTATCTGCAACTACCTTGAAGGAACTCATGTTCCTTCCGAAATTCGAACTCGCGTCAGCCAATGACGCAGTCAGAGATATTACCAATGAGCTAATCGGGCACGCGATTGACCTCCTGAAGGACTGTGGTGGATATTTTGATTGGACACTAGTAACTAGTATGATGTGTCTAGTCTTTTCTTCGGTACAGACTGAATGGTGGTCACATTGCAAACCTGACTGATAGAATTCAGTCTGCTAGTTACTAGTGTCCAATCAAAATCTCCTAAAGTTTGCCGAAGCAATTTTCAGCAAACGCCTGAAAGCCGATTTGTGCGTTCAGAAAGAAGCGGTTATCAGTCTAACATTGCCCTGGTAACTGGCTTTTTTCACTTGACTACGTAATGCCGAATGTTTCCCTTGCGTATGATTATTACTGATTAGAAGAAAGTGTTTATTATTACTAGCATTGTATGCATGTATTGAATGACTGATTTTTGTTGAAAAATGAACCTGTGCAAATATGTTAAAATTGTTTCCGTAGATATACTTAATAATGTCTTTAGGCTGTAAGCAGCCGATGAGAAGCTAATGTAATAAATGATGTTATCATTTGATTCTGCAAAAAATGTCGTTAATGATTTATTCAAAACCATATTGTTATTTGTTTTTAGATTTAATTCCGACTTTCCCGTCGGGTGATTGGAGCGAAGTGTTCTACGTCTGTTGTCATGTCGGCTCCTAGTACGAACGCTTCGAGGATGTCTGAGGATTAAAGTGAAGTAACTTTGGTGGGTGGAGACTAGCAGTAAGATCCAGGATGCTAATTTCATCCTATTTGGAAATACTCGTCAACTGGATCTACCTGCATTACCAATGACTGATAGTATTTCCACTGAGACATGAACCCATTACCCATCATTTCAAACGTCAGAACGTCGAATCATTCGAACTAGGAGATGACATACTGACAAAGGTTAAACATTTCAGTCCGATCAACCGAAGGAAAAATCAAAACTGCATCTTTAAGAAAAGTAAACA